TATATATATATAGGACAAAAAGAAAAAAAGAGAAAAACAAAGAAAATTTGGAAAATCATTAAGTTTTATTTGCTGCACGTAAGCTGCAAGTATATAGCACTCATAAAATGAGTTCAAAAAGTAGAGAAAACATGGAAAGAATTACGGAATAATTAAAGAACAGATAAACAAAATTAATTAAAGAACAGATAAACAAAATTAATTAAAGAAATATATTACTTAATATTGTTTAATATTTTTTAAATAATATTTTTTAAATTTATATTATTAATTTTCATCTAATTTTCTTTTTCTCTTTTTTCATTATTCTGTAATTTTTTTTTATGTTTTCTCTACTTTTTGAGCTTCTGTAAAAAAAAGGAAAATAACTATGGTGTTGTCAATGAATAGAGAAATGCCCTATTAGTTCATGGTGCCACATATGGATAATAATAATAAAAAATATAAAAAGAACTCACTAATCGGAGAATAAAATCCGTTTCTTCGAATGAATGAATCGAAGCAAGATGTCCGCCGTTGTCTTGGCAGAAATATTGTGCTGTATCCCAACTGTATTTCGCTTCCTCTCTGACTAAATAACAATGATCTTCATACAGATACCACTGATTTCTGTATACGGAAGGTCCACTAAAGTTGCAAGGAATTTCTGGAAATCGAAACAGAGAAATTTTGATACTAACGGGGAAACTGGTTATTGCAATCCGGAACTCATTTATTTAATGAACATACCATTTGAAAAAAAAAACTTTTGTGCGAAGATATCATAAAATGTGTGATCAGAAATAGTGTTAAAATTGATAACTTTTCTGCTTACAGTTATAGTGATGTAATATCGAAATCTTCAATAACAGTATCGTTTTTTTTTCTCTATCAAAACGTGGTACCCATAACAATATGCTTAAAGCAGAAATGGAATGATAATAGTAGCGACGCTAGGCAGAGATGAACGCAAAAGAACACTAAGATCAAGAGAAATAGCAAACGAATCATAGTGTTGCCTCCGATCTTTCTTTTGCCCACAGAACGGGATCAGTTGAGTTACTGACGTGTCGAAAATTTATAAAAAAAAGCTTTTTTTTTTTCATTTATGTCTAGAATGTTAAAAATATTATTTTGATTCCATTTAGAGAGTTTTTTTTCAGTCTATGGATCCTGTTTCGATGAAATAAAAGTAAGCGTGGCTTAAAAATTACTAAATGTTGGAACTGAAACAGTAGCCATAACAGATAGATAATTTTTAGCATTCTTGACTGCTTTCCTTTTAATACCTTTATAGAACACTTTATTCCGTTCTCCAGAAAATTATTCTTGACAGTGAATAGTATGTTGATAAAATTATTATATAATCACCGTGTTTCACAAATAGTCTTATTACTTTAAGTGTTCTCCAAATGAAGCAGTAACTCTAGTCAAAGCAACCATAATTAAACCCTAATTAAAGTTAATGTTCAGATAAAAGTGACATGCCAGAGAGAAACTAGAGAATTTGGTGTGTCAACAAGTGCTGCGGATAACTTAGACTAACAATAAAACAATATTTCAAAAAGAAAAATTATAATTTTGCATTAATAATTTAGTGTGGTTGCAGATCAACATTAGCAGGCACCTGTGCAAATATTTCAAATGGAATAGTTTGACTGACTGCAGATAACAAAACATTGTTTTTTTAATTTTTCCAGTCAGCTGCTCCTCCCGTTGATTAATTTTGTAACTAGATTTAGAAGTTTGTGAAAATAAATATATCGTTTTTTTCTTCTTTTTTTTAATTATTATTTTTTGGGGGGTGGGGTAATTGATTTTTCAAATTGTCAATCATTTCTGGAATACCCGGGCTGAAGGATATACATAAGTTTAACTTATTGGCTACTATTGTAATTGATTATCACATACCTAATATCATTATTAATCTATACATAATCAGTTGATCTAGTAGACCTGAAAATCTAAATTTTCGGTTAGTAGCCTGTGGCCGGTATACTCTAATGACTGAGTAGCCACTTTACCTCGAACTTATTGAGTCGGTGACCGATATGGATGAGTCCCTTTCATTCAATATCCATTTCTCGCTAACTTTTTTGGTTGGATTAAATTTAAAAAAAAAACCCATATCAGAAATAGCCTACGGCTATAAAAAGTCAATTAGACAATGAAAACAATACAAATATATGGCAAAATTTAATTGAACATACTGACTTTAAAGAATTTTATGTAAAAATATTTGAGTAGGTAAAACATATTTAATGTATACATTACAATCTTGAAATATGTGAATCTTTCGAACACAAATTGATGGATTCTGACGGATCCAAACTTTGAATGGTGGCATTGAACATTTTAATGAAAATTCTGTTTTCCAGAGGCTCTTTCAACAACGTTGTACTTTTATCATTAAACAATTTTTAAAAAGGTGATGGGCAAAAGTGATCGGTTGTTTATTTAATTAAAATCTCTTTTTTTCTTTTCTTGTTTTTGTTAACTCACCACTTTTTTTTTTGACTCGCCACTTGGCAAGTGTCTATCTTCAGGTCTATAATCCAGTTTTAAAAAAAATTTCATGTGGATATCAAAATTTACCGCGGAGGGTTTAATCAATACTTAGCGCAATTATAATAAGAGTATGAAGGGCATGTGGTTATCACAGTTTAGTGAGATAGAACAAAATTCACGAAATTAACTTCAAATTTCACGAGTTCAAATTTTAGGGGTCTTCAAAACACATAAATAATATAAAAACTAAAATTTTTAGGAGGAGTAAATGTTTTTCTTTCTTTTATGCAACAAATACTTATCATGAAAAGTTTATTCTCTTTGCATTGAGTGTAGCAACAAGCACAATACAAAAAGAAATATTTTAAGACAGCATGTAAATAGCGTAATAAACATTTCGGAAAAATAGGAATTTACGATGATTTACTTTAATCAACTGATGAAAACTTGCGAAAAAAATCGGCAACTATTCAAATTATTTAAATTTCAAGCGAGTAATGTATGCTATTCAAAAAAATTGATCCTTACTTTTTGATACATTCTCCAAATTAGGAATTACCGGGTTTCTAGCTAAAAAAGGAACAAGAATAACATTATAAGACAAAATATCATGAAGATATGAAAGATCTTAATACTGTCTAAAATGAAGTGAAAAAAGTATCCATATTATCTTACATCCGAGCTTTAGAGAATCACAATGTCATTTTCGTTTACATATTGTTCTCTATTATATATAGCTTAGAGGGAAACTATATTATTCACTATAGTATGTAGTTTAGAGGGAAGCTATATTATTCGCTATTATATATAGCTAAGATTGAAGCCATATTATGCACTATTATATATAGCTTAAAGGGAAGCTATATTATTCACTATCATATATAGCTTAGAGGGAAGCTATATTATTCTCCATTATATATAACTTAGAAGGACGTATACTTATAAATGTGAAGGAAATTATTTTTTCACCCTTAAGCTGCATAATCATTATATATTTCGACATCTGATATAGCAATGTTTACTTGTAAAAAAGTACGATTGATTCTATGCTGTAATTTTTGGTTGGCGCTGTTCCAAATATGAAAATTAAAAGCTGCATTTTAGGCATATTTTACTTTTTTGTAATGGAAAAGATAAAAATGCTGTTCAAGCAAGAAAAAATAAAATTATGTAATGTGCATGAAGAAGATGTATTGACAGAATGCCATTGCCAAAACTGGTATCGAAATTCTTGATCCTGAAATTTTGATGTTGCGGACGCACCACGTTCTGGAAAGCCAGTTGAAGAGGATGAAGACACAATGATATAAATCAGAGAATAAAAACTCGTATGATTAATAAGAAAATAAAATTATCGAATTCGGCCGTTCACGATTATTTGAAACACCTAGGTTTTAGCCTCAAAGTACAACGTGTGGATTCCCTATGTTCTTACGGAAAGAAATTTGTGTATAATAATGTTTGAGTAAAGATAAGCTTAATCTATTGCTTTGAAAATTAATTGATAAACCAAAAAAGAAAAATCGTCGTATTTTATTAACCTGAGAACTTTAGTCTTTAGATTTCGGCATATGTAACTTTAGATAACTAACTATACTACTTATTATAATCAAAAACGGAAATACCAATTTTCTTGAGTTTAATCCGAATGCTTCAAATTCGCTTACACATTATGCTTTTATAAAACGTAGCGAAAAGAATCTTAACATCCAAGAAATGGTAAAAACAAACAATGAAGACTGTACCATAAACTATAATTTTATCAGCAACTTTTTAATTTAAATGTATTGGTATTCAAAACGAAATTACATAGCAATGTAATTTTTAATACATTTTTATTCCCGGAATATTATTTAATCAGATATGTTATACCTGTATAGAAACATAGTATACATAGTAGCATGTAAAAATTATGCTATTTAGAACACGTTTTGATCTTCAGAACAATATTTCAGTCATTAATATCATAGTCCTTACTGGTAACAAGGAATTAAAAGTAACTATTAAACGAAGTAACAGCAATAAAATTTCGGATACTTTTAATCTTTATAATGATGTTTTTACCTAGCATTGCATTTTACCTAACATTGCATTGATGTTTTTACCTAACATTGCATTGTTTTAACCCAAACGTTGCATTAAAAATATAATGATATCCAAAAAAGTAATATAGATACATGTAATGAGGGCAATGTGAAATACATAAAACATATAATAATAGCATACTTGGTGGTGCCTTGCAAATAAACCATCTCTTAACACCGCAGTAATCTAACTCCCATTGAGAGTTCTTGTCTCCGTGCTTTACACAAAACTTTGTCGGACTACTGAAATCAGGTTCACCTCTGTACCAATTAGTATAGAGAGAAGTAGAATTATCAACCCAGTGTAAAACTGTAAAATTGTAAATATCTATGTATAACAACTGTAATGTACTGTAAATAACAACTATAATGTACTGTAAATATTAGTATATATATGGAAGTAGAATTATCAACCCAGTGTAAAACTGTGAAATTGTAAATATGTATATATAGCAACTGTAATGTACTGTAAATATTAATATATAACAAATAAAAGCGCGCCATATAGATACTACACATGCTAATGATACAAACACAACAAAACGAAAGTTATATAAGCAAAAGAAAATTCAAAATATAAATCACGCATCACAGATTTAATATGACATAAAAGTTAAAATCTATATTGGTCAAGAAATTAAGAGAAAAAATATTTAGAATAAGACGAGAACTTAAGAACAGTTTTTCGCAGGGTGAAAAAAATTCTGGCATTATTACCGTACTTTATGGTGATAAGTACCATACAGTACTGTAATTGTACCATCTGATATAATTATTTCTGATTTTTAAAAATACGTAATTCTGGTAATAAAACCAAAATGTGTGGTATTAAAACCATTCATTTAAAGAAAATTTGGTCCATATGGTAATGCCTTACTGGAAACTCTGGTCTTCAAAATTATAGTTCTAATTCCATACGTTTAGTAAAAAATACAGAACTGAAAAAAGTGTAACTAAATAACTGGTTTTTAAGGCATGCTCAAAGTTATCAGGATATATATATCCTAATGGCTTTGAGCATGCCTTAAAAGCCAGTTATTTAGTTAAATAACTGGTTTACAGAATTAAACATCAGAACTAAACATCCGCATTCGGACAAAGAACTCAATACAGAACACTTTCGATAAATCAGCATTTGCAGCAGTAATAAACAAATAAGAAAAAACAGTCGACAAGTTTCAAGCACATCAAAAATGGGCGCCCATTTTCAAAATTTGCCAGACGTGAATGTAAAGAAACAAAGATTATTTAAAATAAAAACGAAAAGTTGCCAGCTAAAAATGGAGAAGCAAAACATGAAAAACCTTTTTTTTAAATTTTATTTCCTATGAGCTGCACAACCAGTCTTCCCGATGAGCAGACCTAGTGCGTTCTCCAGAAGTGGTATCCACTCTTTCAGGACCACCACAGTGGGTGAGATACCGTTGGCCATGTTAATTTGGACGTCTAGTTTCTGCCACACTAGATGGCAACACCGAGACTCTATTTGGATGCTAAAGTGCTCTAGGAATTTAATTTTTGCCTGAAATGCCAAGAGATGAAAAACCAAATGAAACTGATGGACATGAAAAACCAAAGAAGTTGTTTTTGTTTCTTTGCATTCACATCTGGCAAGTCTTGAAAATGGGCGCCTATTTTTAATGCGCTTGAAACATTTTTTTTATTTGTTTATTTCTTAAGCGAATGAAGTTGTCAATTAGGTAATATCTTACCGCTTCAGTTCCAAGGGATTATTTATTAAATCACTAAAAACACCTATTCATCTCTTTGGTAACATTTTTTTCTGCTCTATAGTACTGTCGATACGTTTAATATATTTGAATAATCATATTTTGTCCGTTTCATACAACAGCAAGAAATTAATACAAATTTATTTTACTTCATTTTTTAACCAAATACCAACTTGTTAGAAATCAAAAAATATAGTTTAAATTAACTGTTATTTTTTTCCTATTAATGAATATTTTGAGCCAGAATCTATCAGATGTGTGGCCGTTAAATTTTTCAAACTTGTTGCCGAGGAATTCCGGTTCAGAAAATTGTAAATCCCAGACCTACGACAAGTCTTAAACTTAATATTTTCATATCGTATTTTCGACCTTAAACTTTGGGCTAACCTAGCGGTTTAAGTTTTATAGCTCATGGAAACTATCTTTTTTAGAAGAGTATTACAAAGAATTATTATTTATAATCAGTTTTAAGAGATAGTATAGAAAAAATTACTTTTTTTTCTACAACCAATTACATGTAATGGCATGTATTAGTCTTACAGTATGATGTTTATTTGGTTAATTGCAACTTGAAAAGAAGTGAAGAGATTATGCCTAACCCTGTAATTTAAATCAGATTTAATTGGATACCAGTAAGTGACGTCACGCGTGTGTGACGCCTGTGGGTGAACATGACTGGCTATTAAATCAATAAATGTGACGAATTGCTTACGGGGACGTCACTTTCAGGCATCCGATTGTATTTTTGAAAACGATAAAAGACAAATTACTTACGGTCATCTTTTCCTCTTTTAAGTCCAAACCAAAGTCCTCTATAGTGACCCTTGGCACTTCTGTAAAAATTAACTTTAAATAACCAAAAGAAGTCAGTATAATTTAATAAAAACTTCAAACTTTAATAATGAGTAATCATTTCCTCCACGGGGAGACAGTGAAAGATACATGCTACTTACTTAACATCTTTAAAAAAAAACGTCTCATTTTCCACTTGTTTGCATCTTGATGATGAGACAATTTATAAATTCCAAACAGAAAAAGCGTTTGTTTAAGGATGAATATATTTTTTAACATGATGTGTGCATAAATATAAAACTCGAGGAAGTTGTAACTTTGAGTATTATGGAAAATTGGTAAATTTTTCTATTGCACTGAGGGAAATGCTTTAGGTATTCAGCTATATAAGCGAAGCTTGACCCTGACCCGCCCCTGTAAGGGGCATCCAGGAAATACTGGAGACTATCGTTGGTGCAATCCTCGAATCAGTCGGAGGACCCAGCGGTGCATGGACGCGAGGATCCATGACCCCGAGTCACGCCCGACGAAGAGCAACACAATCGTTCGATGGACAGAGGAGGCCGAAGGTGACGATCCCGAGACGGGTGCGGCGGTGCCATGCTCGGCTGCAAACGATTCACTAGGAGTGTGGCACCAAGCAGACAGCCGCCACACCACGACCCATCGAGGCATCCTCTGACCGGAAGATTCCAAAAACCCTTTTGAACTTTATTAAAAATACAAATCACAAAAATTTACATTCAAAAATAAAATTACGTTCAGCTATATAAGCTGGGCTTAACCCTGACCGGCCCCCATCGGGGGCATCCAGGGATTACTGTGGACTATCGTTGCTGCAATCCTCAAGTCAGACGGCGGAGTCGGCGGTGCATGGACACTCGAGGGTCCATGACCCCGAGTCACCCACGACAGAAGCAACACTGTGCGTCGACGGATAAAGGATGCCGAAAGGGAAAAACCCGAGTCGGTGCGGCTGTGCCAATCCCAGCTGCAGACGACTCACGAGGAGTGTGGCACCAGGAGAGTCAACCGCCACGCCACGAAACATCAAGGAATCCTCCGGCTGGAAGATTCTGAAATCATTCAGGACATTTATTGAAAAACATTACAATCGAAAATTGATCGTCAACTTGACGGTCTTACAAATAAAACAAAATGAAAAATACAATTTGAAAGCACCCAGGAAAGGGTGGAGGACGCCATAGTCAGCTCACAAAATTTGGGTAATATTCAATATGAAATTCTTGTTTTTAACACTGCAATCGCCCTTTGGTTAGATGGGCACAATCTTTGTCTTGCTGGGTGATTGACCAGCTATATAAGCTTCATTAAACACAAAAATCAAACGATGCCCTAACTAAAACTATTTTAAGAAAAGGAAGGGAGATAAAAACAAATGATTTTGCTGTGCTAGATAACGAAACTAGATAATTTATTCTCATAAATTTTCTAATTATTTAATAAGTTCACAAATAGACGCAGTTGCAGACTAGAAAACGATAAAACAATGCTTCCTGCAGTCTGTCAAACCAATCCAACTGAGACACCTCTATTAATTTTGTTATTAGAGTGCTCCGGACTATTAGTGCAAATGGAGTTTATTTGAAGAAAAAAAATTATAGTTTTCTTAATTAAAAGGGTTAATAATCTTTGAAGATAAGTTTTAAATTTAGGGAGAATAAAACCGAAGCAGAACGCCGCAAACCACGTGTTTCTATCTCTTACTGTTTTTATTTAATTGGTTCTCTTAATTCTTCGTTTGATTCTGAGACACGTAACACACTGCAAAAAATTTTCGTGTGACACTAAAAATGGTGGCAATTACTTTGCACCAAAATTGTGTTCCACTACACAAAGAACCAAGGATAGTTTCTAGAATATTCTTTTACACTACCTTCTTGATGTAAAGCAGCCGCCACCTTGTTTATTATTCAGTAACACTAAAATTTATCAAGACAGCAAGATATGATGAACCACGTTTAAAAACGCTCACTGCAAATCGAATTATCTTGCATATATTGAAAGAGTTATCTTACCTTACGTCTTTTGCCTCTTGCTCTAAGGTGTTATCAAGGGCAATTGATATAAATTGATTAACTATATTTATACTTATATACTTAGAAATACAATAGAAGTTATATGCATCTTTATAAAACCTAACTCTCTTTTAGTGCTTTATACGAGCAATATTTAATCATTTCTCTTTTTTGCGATTTAACTTTTTGTATTAAAATAATAGAATGATAAGTAATAGAAGATGAAAACAATCATGAAAAATTACAAATACATTAGATTAAAAGAGTATAAATAATATGCGAATGTAGATGCTACAATGGAGCAACATCTTCAATTTTCTTCCGCAGGCTTAGATTTTAGGGAATCCTATCTCATTGTGAAAAAATAATACATCTGAAATTTCAATTTTCCTTTCAGAAAATTTTTCTCCTGTAATTTATCATTTTTCTTTTATTTTGAGACATAATTTTGTCTCTTTTTACATCATAGATTTTTTTTAATCAACAGGTGGAGCCATTCGCGCATTTTCATGGCTTTTCTCACAGACTGATTGAATTTTATTAATTTTTCACCGCACGGCTGTTATATTTTTATACTTATTTTTCCGTACTGTACATTGTAATGATGATTACGTTCATTTTGTTTACTTTTATTAGCATTATCACAAATTTTAATTTTTCTTAGTATCAGAATGACATGTTTATCGACAAGTTAACTACTACAAGCAACCACATTCATTCTTACTTACTAGGGAGTATTTTCAACAAATAAATAATTATAAATAATTAGTAAGAAATTGTTGTTAATGATTAAACGTTTGATACATATCAAACCACTATGTCGATTGTTTGCATTTTAAATTGGAAAGCGACTCGTTCATTTCAGTGGAATGTTAGTTGACGAAATGTAAGTTAACTGGTTAAAGTAATGTAATTGTTTCAAAACGAACCCTATTCCATGCTCTTCTTGTTGTGCATTATCATAAGTAGCTAGATCCCCGCCATAAGCTTGACAAAATTTTCGAGCTTGATACCAGTTCAGTCGCTCACTTTCATATGTTGTCTCCTGAAATTAAACATGAAATTATTGAACTTTCAACAAACATTTAGAGTCATAACTATTTTGAGTACTTCGATGGGGAAGAAAAAAAATGCTTAAAAGCACTGCTGCTTGAGTTCTGATTTCTTCGGAACATTGTCTTTTTAACTTTCCTGTTTCTCAATTATTGTATTTAGACAACATCTTAGTTTGACTGAGATAAATATATTTTATTTCATAATCGTCGCTGAACAGCAGACCCAATTTTTGGGTTTACGACTACTAATGTTTAACAACGTAGTCTTGAAGTTTTGAACCTAATCCGGGAGACAAGGGAACTCCTGGATCAAGTATTGGGAGAAATTTGCCTTCGTGGAGGATTTTTTAATGGAACTAACACGCATTTGCGTTACATGGAGAAGAAGACCACGAGCATCTCCCACGGTTAGCCTCACGGTAAAGGGACTCTAACCCATGATCCGACTACCACTGAGGATATTTCACGTCAGCACTATGGTCAGTGCAAGCTGGATGCGGAATTCGTATCAACCAACCCTCTCTGGGATTTGAACCCGGTTCACCTCATTGGAAGGCCGAACACTTTATCCTTTGAGTCATCGCGTCTCTGAGATAAATGTAAGCAAAAAAGTAGGGTTAAAATGGTTTAATTTCCCTTTATAAGGCATTATGACGATGAACATGGACGAAAATACCGAAATGGCTTTTGCCAGAGTTATCTGTGAATTTGAAGCGCTACCGTTTGCATTTTATAGTTTTCTGCGAAAGTGAAGAATAATAAGTAAAGGTGAAGACTGTTGATTGAAACTAAACAATCAAAAATGTAATTATTTAAATATTTGCTAATATGCTGTTTAATAAGCGTGAGATAACCTTTTACCTTAAACTTGATTAAAAATCTTCAAAAAAGAAATAGTTTTTAGATTATGCGCAATGTAAAATTGTACAATTGGGTCATTCCAGACAAAGTGGACTTACAAAATTAATCTTTATTTACATACTAATTGTGATGAACTATTATTTATTTCATTGTATAAAGATTACTCAGAATAATATTTCATGAACATAATGCATACTTTTAATGTGTATTACTTTGTCTTATGCTGGTTAATTTTCTATTCTCATTCAACTTAATCTAGCCAACTTTCAATTTCAGAAAAGTTACAAGTGCATTTGTGGATCAAAAATAATAAAAAAATTAACAAATAAAAACACAACAGCTGATATTAATCTGCTATACTTACTATTGATAAATCTTGCCCTCATTGCAATAGAGCCAGAACACAAAAAGTGTAAAATTTTAGAAATCTGAACAGATAATTTTAAAAAAATGTTAAGTTATCAAAAAATGTTATGTTAAAAATGTTTAAGTTATCAAAAAACACGTTAATTTCAAAAAAGCTTATAGATTTTTGCAAATTTTAATATATGGTGATAAAATTATTATGAAATTGTGATTGATTCCTCAGTATAACGCTTGCAATTTCCTTTCCTGTTACAGAATCTTCTGTTTCAAGTTGCGGCCCTATAGCTTTAAAGGAGCGACGTGTTTCAATTTCAAACTAATAAAAAGTCTCCAAACAGAACAGTGGATGCCTTTCCTAAATTTCTCCTCATAAAATTTGAAGATTTAAATTGCTTTCAAAGATATATCTCACCCCCACTATTTTGCAAAATTCTTAATAATTATAGTCTGAAATTGCACTCAAATCGACACAAAACAACTATTTCATCACAATTTGACGATTTGAAGACAAACTTTTTGTGCTTGCTCGATTGTTCACCAAATTATTCAATTGAGATTATAATTCGATATTTTTTAGGCTTATTTCAAAGTGATTTTAGATAGCAATTGATATAAAACGTAAAATCAACACGAAGTTAAATTTAGATAAATAAACGTAGCGTTTTAAATGCTTCCGAACTGCCACTATTCCATCGCATTTTAATGATTTGAAGACAAACTTTTTGTGCTTGCCCAATTGTTCACCAAATTATTCAATTGACATTATAATTCGATATTTTTAGGCTTATTTCAAAGTGATTTTAGATAGCAATTGATATAAAACGTAAAATCAACACGAAGTTAAATTTAGATAAATAAACGTAGCGTTTTAAATGCTGCCGAACTGCGACTATTCCATCGCAATTTAATGATTTGAAGACGAACTTCTTGTGCTTGCCCAATTGTTCACCAAATTATTCAATTGACATTATAATTCGATATTTTTTAGGCTTATTTCAAAGTGATTTTAGATAGCAATTGATATAAAACGTAAAATCAACGTGAAGTTAAATTTAGAAAAATAAAAGTAGCTTTTTAAATGCTTCCGATCTGCCACCTCATAATAACGAGGGGACTTTAGCGGCATGCGATGATAATCCTATTGCATGTCCAAGTTATACCATCTTTTATAAATACAAAATACACTTACCCAAAATACACTTATACAGGATACAAAATACACTTACCCAGTAACAAAAACCACTTTCTTCGTGGGCCTTCCAGTTGTATCCTACAGGGCATTGTAGTGGTGCAAGTGTTGTGGTTGGCTCAGTTGAAGCTTGAGTGGTGCTTCTGATAACAGGCTGCATTTCACACATATAGTAGTTGCTTGCACTACAATTCAATGCTACCCATGTAAACATTGTAGGATGTTGCTCGTCGGAAGAAAATCCCAGGCATCCACCTGAAATTGATGGCGTAATTGATTTTGAATTCTGTTAATTGCAACTGCGTGATTCATGCATCAACTATATATTAGAAACACGGTGATACACATGCATCAACCAACGCAACAACTATACTATGATGAACTGTGTTTCTCATAAATCAACTATAATACTATATCCTACATCAATTGTATTTCTCATGTGCCAACTACTATAATACTACCTCAACTATATCACTTTTCTAGCAACTGTGCTATAACAACTACGTCACTCATGCAGTAACTATACAATTACAAATATGCAATCCCACATTTGACACTGGGATACTTGCAACAATATGGTTATGTCTAATCACGTGATTTTCCGTGGAGTTTTAACGTTACAGCCCTACTGTTTGGGTTTATTATCACATTGAATCGACTTTCAAATCAGATTTTACTGGTTACCTGCAAACGACGTCACGCGTGTGTGTCGAATCTGATTAGCTGACCCATGCGTGACTTCGCTTGCAGGTATCCAATTACTTTATGCTTAAACAGAGCATATAAGGTAAAAGCGTATATGTTTTAACACTTCTGTTTAACTATGCCGCACTTTAAAATTGAAATATTTAGCACTAAAACCAATTGGATTCATCGTTAGTAATTTTACTGGAAATGTTTCCTTAAATTGTAAACAGTTCTCTTTTAGGAGAAAAGAATTGTTTTTATTAGTACAGTTAGGTAAATTATTTAGTTATTATTAGGTTAATTATGATGATTATTATTATTAAATGGAGAATTTCATAAATTATACAGTTTTGCAGGGGGTACAAAAACGTGCGAGAGCGAGAGTCAAATTCGTATTTAAAATAACTGTCTACAGCAACTACTTTCCTGCAACATGCTCATCTCAAATTGCTACTTTACCCAGTTAGAAGTTATAAATATTTCTTTTTTTAAATGATATAAATTTCTAAGTTGAAGCTTAAAAATGAGTTTATAAATAAACAAGTTTCATACCCCTTGAGATATTTTCAAATTATGATCTAAGCTATGCACAGTGGGCCAGCATCAAAGGTTTCGAGGCCAAAATTAGTATTTCGATAAAATTTGTTTCAAAATTTGGGGGTTTTTATGTGCAGGTAAATTGAATTCATAGTTTAAATTTTGAAATACACTAAAAATACCAAAAACAACAAAATGGTGGCTGAAATATAGCGAGCAAAAATAAAAAAATACATAGTGCGTTTAAATAATGAAATATAGCAATGAAAATATTATAATTTTCGTAATTTTATATTAAAAATGAAAAGCAAATTATCTTTCCGAAGTATTCCGAAGTATATTTTTGTTTTTCGGTATATTTAGTCCACCTTTGCAATACGGGCAAAATGGGGCAGATTTTTTTTGTAAGAAGAAATATTAAAGAAGACAACAAAAAAAAGTTTAGCTAATTCTCTCGTGGAACTTTTTGGAACTAAGTTTCGAAAGTCATTCAAACATTGTAAAATGTCAAATGATCAGATATAAACTAAACTGCTGTTTGTAGAAAATGCAACACCATGAAAGAATCATCAGAATCAAATGAAATTTAATGCAGAAACGACTTGTACTGATACAAATAAATGATGAAATTTTCAAAACAAAAGAAACAAATTAAGCGTCCGAAATCAGTATTTGGTGCAGCCACCACGCGCTGCAATAAGTGCTGCTATACGACGTGGCATGGAGTCAAACAGATGTTGAATATCTGCTTGAGGAAGAGAATTCCATATCGCTTGTATGCGCAACCAAAGTTCGTCTTTGGAAACTGCAGGACGCGGATCACGAGTGAGACGCCGACCAACCATATCCCACACGTGCTCAATAGGCGACATATCCGGCGAATAAGCAGGCCAAGGAAGAAGTTGCATGCGTTGTGCTGAACAGAAGTCTCTAACAGTCCGCGCAACATGTGGGCGTGCATTATCCTGCTGAAAGATAGCTCCAGGGATGCCTTGAAGGAAAGGAACGACTTCGGGCTGTAGCACTTCACGGACGTATCTGTTGCTATTGAGATTACCCTCAATTCGTATCAAATTGGATCGTCCATGATACGAAATCGCACCCCAGACCATAACTCCGGGTGTTCGACCACTATGTCGTTCAATAATACACTCAGGAAGGCAGCGTTGACCGGCATAACGTCTAACACGAACACGGCCATCATGGGTCCACAAATTGAAGCGTGATTCATCTGAAAAGACAACTTGGTGCCAATCAGCTCGCCAGTCTCTGTGCTCAAGAGCCCACTGCCGACGCAGCCGTCGATGATCCGCCGTGAGGGGAATCCTGTATAATGGCACCCTTGCACGCAATCCACGGCGCAGCAGACGACGACGAATTGACGAAGCCGACAATTGTACACCTGTAGCAGTAGACCAATGTGCTGCCAGCTGCCTGGAGGAAGCTGTGCGATCATTCACCGCCATGCGGAGCAGGTGTCGATCATCGCGCTCTGACGTCACCTTCTGTCGTCCAGTGCCTGTTTTTCGAGTTGTTCGGTGCTCGTCGGTCCACTGCTTCCAAACTCGCATCACTGTGGAACTGTTCCGCTGCATACGAGCTGCTATTGCGCGATAGGAAAATCCTCCTTCTCGAAGGCCGATTATCCTCCCTCGTTCAAACTCCGTAAGTTGCTTGAATTTCTTATTCTTCCGTCGTGGAGGCATACTCAGGTCTCACTAAACGTTTGCCACTAACAAATAATCATAGACTATTTTCAACGTCCCGCTACAGCACTTTATTTATACGCTTTCAGCATCAATTCAGAGGGCGCTGCGCGCGCCACGCACGCGCGATGGCTCTGAAACTTTATTAATTTGCATAATATCCTATATCCATTATTAAAATAATATTTCATTTGATTCTGATGATTCCTTCATGGTGTTGCATTTTCTACAAACAGCAGTTTATAAATCTGTCAAGAGTATTAACTAATCCAACAAATTGAAAAATTTAACTATAATTTCAGACTAATTACTCTGATAAAAATGTAACAGTAAGGCGAAATTCTTATATATATTTCTGAAATATAAATTTAAAAGTTGCATTAAAAAAAAATATGTATTTTTCACTACATTGTACTCTTGTCGGTTCGAAATGTAAATTATAATGTTTGGAATGATTATAAATACTTAATTTGGGCAATATTAAAACTGCCTACACATATTTTAGTTGAAAATTTAATTTTGACTTTTGACCAAAGATCATGGTCTTCTGGCCCACTGTGCTATATTTTATGTGAAACTTTAGCAATTACCAATATTGTACAATTTTCCAAGAAGAGAAGTGATTGCCTAATATTTTTGTAAAAGAAATTTTTTTCAACAGTATAAAATGTTTTGCTTTTCTATAACAATTCTTATAAATTAAAAAGTGTTTTCAAATCAGATAGAAATTAGATGGATGTAGTACAATCAATTCCTTGTGAGGACAATTCACAGAGCCCAGAATATTTTTTATTATTTCTAGTACTGTATAATCAAAAATTATGCAAAGGCAATCTAAAATTGAAATTAATAAAATTATCATTATAAATGTTTTCGCTCTAAAGTATAGAAATCAGATATTCTGCAGTTTATCTAATTGATATGTAGATTAAATAGGGTGATTCACTAAAGTGCCAAAAAAATTTATCATTTCTCAAATTACCCAAGTAATCTAAAAACTACCTAGATAATGTGTAACATTACGTGAACATTACAAACTAGGCACTCGTAAAAGTGAAAATAAGATCTTTGCTGGAAGAACAGCAACGTTTCTGTACGCTTAAATTAACATAATGTTATTTATTTATTTTTCGCTATCTAAGAAATCAAGTCACTACAATCAAAACATTAGCTGATAGAATCAGTCAACAATGTCTCCAAAAACTATAACACAAGGAATCAAACGGCTTAAAATATTATTACAATTAGAGGAATAAACATAAATAATTTTTCAATATTTAAAAAATCAAGTCAATACAATAAGCAAATTAGTTAATAGAATCAAACTTTTGAACCCGTAACCGCTTATATTACTTTGGTAAATTGTGGAAAACTCATGATTCCTTACTTTAATGGATTACTTTAATTAATCTGAAGATTCGCTAGGTATTGTGCATGTATGCTAATATATATATATATATATATATTAGCATACATGCAGATACATTAGCGTACTTTAAGATTCACTAGGTAATGTGCATACACTTCAGCGGTAAATGTAAACTAATATTTTTGTTTTAAAATATCCCAGTGTATCCAAGCATACATCCAGATATATTCGCTTATCTGTAGTTTCACTAAGTTATATGCATGCACTATAGCATTAAAATATATGAGAATATTTTTGCTTTAATGCAATTTCCTGGTAAGAGTTGACGAGGAAATTAAATGAGCTTGCTAGGAATTGAATTTTTTCTCTTAGAAAGAACATTTGTCTTTTGTTTTTTTTTTTTTTTTTAATTTGAAACAGACACATCTAACCGCTTGTACCAAAATTTTTTTTCTGGTTAATTAATTTCGTGAAATATGCTCTTTTGACAAATAGAGATTTTGACCACTAGAAATCGGTGCTAGTTGGCTAGTTGTTATCGAAGTATTTTACCATGCCATTCGTGTTTAGATTTTTAAAACTAATTGAATACTTAGTAAAGATTTTTTACCTAGAGAAAAATTTTGAGCCAGACATTCAGCGCAGCTTGGTTCAAAATCATTTCCAGACGTCCATTTAAATGATTCACTTCCATTTATCTTAACTTGTTTTGCTGCAACTAAATACGCACCTTTTTGTCCAATTATAACAGAGGCAGCATTGTGTTCTTTAGCTCTAAAGGTGATAAAATGTTTTTGTCATACTTATTATTTTTTAAAACCATCATCCACTGAATTTTCACAAATTTAAGACAATGCACGAAGAGCTCAGTGGAAGAAGGTCCTATTTGACATTTAAAAAAATTAGATTGCTCAGGAAAAGATTTTACGATTATTTAACTGTACAACATTTTGTTTTTTATTTTAAATTTCGCAGATATCTGTGGATAAAGGTACTGATTGACAATTTTTAAATATTTTTGGATTGGAAGAAAGTTCAGGGTTGATTTGATCACAACCACAGTCAGAAAACCTGCATTTTGGCAACAAATTAAATTGCCTAGAGAGTGAACTGTATGACGTTAATAACTTAAATCTGTGTTAGGGGTATATAGAATACAATCACGTAGAAATCTGAGAAGAAAAAATAAGAACATTACATAATATTTATTTCCTATTTCCAACTCATTCGTTTAAATGTTACTTAAAACTCAACTTTTCGCATTTAATTTTTTATTATTAAAGGGAGAATGCTTTTTAATAATGTTGTGGTTGATTTATTATCATATGCTACACTAATAGGAAATATATATAAGCTAAAGATAATTTTAATACAGTGCACTCTGAAAATTAAACAAACACAGCAGGAATATAAGAATTAGCTTAAATTTCATAAAACTTTCTGTTGGCTTAAGTGTTTTGAATTTCAGTTGACTTTAGAGTCTAATAAAAGTTCCCTAGTTATCCACTGACTAAAGCCCTCTATTTCCTTATCTACTTTTTTTGCGTAGATTTCGTTTTTAAAGTATATTCTGAAGCACAATATTACGATCTTCAAGTAAAACGTAGTTTAGAACAGTTGATCATGTAAATAAATAATTAACTTTAACAGAAGGGATCACAGAAATGACAAACACCTTCCGTTGTTTTCTTAATTATGAAATACCTCATTTCTTTTCAGACCAAGATAACAAATTCCTCTTATTAAATAGTTTTATGAAGCCAGAATCGGTGAGTTCTTAGAATAGGTGTTGAACAGCCGACTCGATTCTGAGTTTACGACCATCACTGCTCAATTCCACAGCCTTGTAATTTTGAAAGAACTCTTGGATCAAGCATTGGGACAAACTAGCCCTCGTGAAGGACTTTTTGTTGCATGGAGAGGAAAACCACGGAAATCATCTACGGTTAACCCGAAGGCAAGGCAATTCTAATCCATGATCCGTCTACCACTGAGGGTATTTTACATCAGCACCATGGTCAGTGTGATCCGGGAGTAGACTTTGTGCCAACCCGCCGCCGCTAGGATTCGAACCTGAGTCACCTCATTGGAAGACGAACGCTCTATCCCCTGAGCCACCAACGCTCACCCTAACACTTAAACATTTTCAAAAATTGCAAACTTTTCTATATTTCAATAAATAACTAAAATAATTTCCCTTAAGAAGTAAAGTATTCGATGAAGAAAAAACCCTAGTACACGACGACAACTTAATGTACTAACCACTGAATCATTGTAGCCCGAATATTTTTCCCAGGGAATTTTAATTTGTTTGACATAATATAAACAAAAAGAAAAATAAGAGCGTTTTTTTTATTATAATCTATGAGTCGAATAACAGAAGTGATACTGATTAAAGTTGAGTTACTTAGGGTTAAAAGGACCTACGCTTACAGTTTCCCTAAATAATCTCTGAGGAAAAACTTTGGTTTTGCAAGACATTTTGAATAGAAACGAAAAAAAAAAAAAAACGATTTGCTAAATATTGATAAATGCTATTTGCACTGAACTTACATATGCTACTTACATGATTATACTTACATATTATCCAACACAGTTAGTTGTGCTCGCTGAAGAGAACAGTAAGATACAGCCTGTTCGTACGTTGCTAAATTCTTGAATGTTTTATAACAGATATTACCATAATAGCTCCAACTCTATAATAACAATTTTTCTTTATTTCAGGAATGTAAAAAAATAATACTCTTTTTTATTATAGAACGCTCTAAGGTGTTTAAAGAAAATGTCATAAAATAATTTTTTATAAAAGGGGAAAATTTTATAAAACGCATCTGGCAGCGGAGAGGAATTTTAATTGATTTCCTTGCTATATTTTCTTTGATGTTATTAAGTTCATGAACACCGTAGAGCGTTACTTTAATAGGTCATGAGAAGCAGAAAGAAATTGATTGGTCTACAAAATTATTTCCTACTTTTTAATTATTTTAATACTCAGGGTGTTTTCGTAATAAACATGGTTCATAAATATTTTTTGAATACTTGTGAAATGTCAAATGAAGTAAAAAAAGTAGGAACATTAAGTGTTACAAATTAATATTTAAGCTCAGAAAAATCGAAATCTGTAAATCCTAGCTGAGGAAAGAGGAGCTAAAATGCTAAAACCCGTTTGATTGACTGAAGAAATAAAGATATGCACAAAGATGATTGTTAGAAACTTCTCCAAGTTTACTAGTCATTTAAACTGGTGTTAAATGCGTTTCTTTCAGCATTTTTTTCATTGATTATAGCAAATTTGTTTCCTCTTCACTTATAATTTGCAATTTCTAATATTTATGCTTTTTTTTAAATTTCATTTTTGACAATGGTCGTAAAAACAGGTATTCAATTTATTCATAATTTTGTCAAATGTTTAAGTATAGGTTTGCCATCATGAGTTAGCGTGTACAAAGTGAAAGTTAAGCATACCGGTAGAGTTTATTTCAGAGATTCAGGGGAAGAAGGCTGGGATAGCCGAAGCGAAAACGAAGTGGAAAATCGGAAGAAAATGTGTATAAATGTCATATTTGATGTTTTTTCGCCGTCTTTTCACATTCCAAATGAAATTTTTAATCACATATGAACATTTTCTACAGTTTCTTATTATTGATGCTTTTGCATATTTGTTTCGCCGATTCTCTCATTCACTCGCCAAAAGAAATGTGCCACATTTTGCGCGCTTTAATTTTCACCTCCTTTGAAAAAGTGAACTCTCCCACCAAGCTTTTCTACCATGCGCCAACTTGTTGAGGTTAAATAATACAGTGCAACTTTTTAAAATTTTTAAATTTTTAGAAATTATCTGGCAATTTTAACCAAGTATATTTTGGTTGTCACAAAACATAAAAATTGTTTAGAAATTTAAGTTGGAAAATTTATTCAACATATTGCGGGTTATTGCCGCAATAAAGAGCCTTTTACAATATATAAAAAATGAAATAAAATAACCTAAAAAGTTTGGGTCAAGGATTATACGTAAAATCTCAGTGCCATCTACGATGAGTCATAATATCATGCAATCAAAATTTGGTATGTATTTATACAAGGACTTTGAAAAACTAACAAAACACTAAAAATAATTAATTCATCGGCAGGAAAATATCATAAGCATTGTCAACAAATGTGGAAATTACTTTCTTATTTTACCCTCTCTAAAGAGGTGAAATAATTTTAAACTTTTTTATAATGATCCAAATTCTTAAAATTTCGTGAATATCAAAATAAAAAAAAGAAAGAAAAAGAATAAAAGAAAAAAGTAAGAAAAAAATAAAAAAGAAGAAAGAAATGAAAATTAAAAGTTATATTATGCCATAGTTACATAAAGAAATGAAAATTAATTAATTTAAGAAAGATAAGAAAGAAATTCTATTGCTTTTCTATTTCAAATAAAGCTCTATCGTAGTTAAGTGAAATGCATAAAAACATGCATATAAAATTGATATGCAGGATTTCTGTAATCAAAAAGGATCTTTGTAAGAATAAAATATTAGTTCCTTACAAATTCCTCGTAAAAAAAAATGAAGTAAAGAACTATGCACATAAGAGGTTGCAAATTAATATTTATGTAACAAGAAAGAAAAGATTTTTAAACTTCTACTAACCATTATTGAGGTAAATGAAAGCAAGGAGTCAATAAAATCATTATTTGTTTGGTGGTGTAGGAATGCATTCTCAAGAGCTGCCTTAAAGCTTCAATTTAAGATGAATCGGTTTTCGCTTAATTAATTACTGCCTTTTTTACTCTTAATGACCTCACTAGTAGTAGATCAGAGCTTGAAAGTGTTTTATTAATTGGAGACTCAAATATTAATTTGTGACTCGTTCTTCCGATCTCATTTGGTCAATTTTAATCTAAATTTTTCAAGGTCTTTAAAAATATATGTTAGGAACGGTCTTTACGAAACACCCTGATTATATTTTGCTACATTCTTATTGCGAATTAGTTCCTTACCGTTGGACAAATGTAGTCGCTGTCTGTTTTAGCCACTTCGCAGACAAACTGTTTCCCATTGTCGCAGTTACCATCAGTACCCAGTTTCTGAAATAAATTGTTTTAAACTAATAGAAAATAACAATTAAAATTGTCGAAAATTTATCAGAATTCCCAGTTTAAAATGTTTTATATAAATAAGTGACGGTTTTGAATAAACTGAATAATTCGGTTAAAGCTCTTTTTTTTTTTTTTTTTAAAAAAAAAGAAAAAAAAAATTTCCAGACTTAACTGAAATATTATCCTGAAATTAATCTATTTTTCTTTTAAGTGCAATTGTTAAAAAATAAGGAAAAGGGATGAATCATATTTTTGCAATAAATTGCTACAAATATAACAAAGCGGCAAAAAAGTTCTCAACCCACCTTTAAATAGATTTCAATATTTAACTTTCGTTAAAGACATACGGATAACATTTTTTGATTAGTTAAGAGCCAAAATCTCCGAAAAGTAACGAAACAGATATTGTTTCGCAGACTTACCGTGGTATCAAGATTAATGTATTTTAACTCGTCATAATCTCAAAATTAAATAAATATTATCATTTTTCTACAACTATAATGAATTTCGGAAATTCAAAGTAGTAATTGCACTCAAAAATATTATCAAATAATATATTTCATGAAATAATTAGACTTCGAAAATTACAATAGCTTGACTTCGCACTTTTATCAAGATATTTTAACTTGTATCTGCCTAATAAGTAGTTAATTTTTGATAATACATTAGTTTTCTTAATACATACTTAGAAGTTATTCAAAGCAGAAATTTTTTCTAACGAACTCAAAAGAAAATTTTATTTTAATATTTAATGAACTGGATTAGTTGATAAGTAGTTAGCGTTATTGTATCCTGGGAACAAGGCGAAACCTCATTGAACTATAAATTCAGCTACCATAGAAAAAAATCTTCAACGAATACTGCTATTTCACTTTCCAATTTTCACTATTTTGCCAATTTGTCATCGTTAAAATGACAAGATATTGACAGCGGAATAAAAACAACAATAAAAAATCGAACACAGCTGAAAAAGATTACCAACACAAAGTAAGTAATGTGTGTTTGAGAGATATTTCGCTTATTGTGTTTCCGACACTACTAGCTTTCCTTGTCTTTTTGTCATTTTGTCGAAGCCTAACGAAGCTATAAATTCAGCTACTATAGAAAAAAAATCTTCAACGAAAACTGTTGTTTCACCTTTCAATTTTCCCTATTTTGCCAATTTGTCATCGTTAAAATGACAAGATATTGATAGCGGAATTAAAACAACAACAAAAAAACCAAACACAAATGAAAAAGATTACCATCACAAAGTAAGTAACGTGTGCTTGAGAGATATTTCGCTTATTGTGTAACCGACAGTACTAGCTTTCTTTGTCTTTTTGTCATTTTGAAATTGTTGCTGTAACTTACTTTATTCTACATTTGAATAACAATTTATGCTCCAAATTTTTAAACAATAAAACAGTATCTCGAATATTATTCTCTATTTTGAAACTCGCTGCTATAACAAAATCAGATAAGATAAACATTTCATAGGCTAAAAAAAATAATAGCAGAATCTTACCACCGATGATGCTTCATCTGCGTAAATGTAACTGCAATAAGTAGATGATACGGTTTCACCAAGGGAGGAATTTTCGTGAACCCAATAAGATATCTCATTTGAATCTAGAAAAGAGGAAATTGAAAGTCTCATAAATGCATTATAGAACACAAAAAGACAGAAAGTTAACGATATATTTTTTATTTGATTATATTAATGGATAAATTTTGCAAAACGGTGCGGTTAACCCTAACTTTAACGTTAACGCTGCTTGAGCTTTAGGGCGCATTCTCGAAAATTTCTCAACAAATTGCTGTTAAGCGTTATGGTTAACGGAAAACAAACTCTATGCAAAATCTCTCTGTTAAATCTAAGTGTATTCATTGTTTCCATTTACTTTAACGGAAAATAAAAAGTCATTTCATTGTTAAATTTCTCAGAAAAATGGTTAAATAGCATCCATTTAATTGTTATTTTACCATATTCAAACAAAACAGTCAAATAGCTTTGTTATAAGGTTTATATTTAAGTTTAATTTCTCTCTTTTTCTGATTCGAGACTTATTTATTTTGATTACTTTTTACTTATGTGCCAATATAATTTTTATACCATTCAGTCTTGTCTTATTTATACCTCTATAGTTGCCGCTCTATAGCCCACAAGTATGCAACAAAAGTGTTGAAATTCAAAGTGCTGCAATGAACTTAACGAGCGTTTTTTAAGAAATTCCCAATTTTTCGAAAATTATAGCTATTTTAAGTGCTTTTTTCCATATTTTTTTCTCAAATTTTTGCTTTGACTACTATTTATGTATTGTTGAAGGAAAATTTATTTACCTCTCACAAAATCTGTATTTCATAAATTCGGGCTTAAGTGATTTTCCAAAGTAACAAAAACGAAAGAGAGATTACATATTCTTCCCAGATATATAAATTAACATTTACATTTAAATAAAAAAAATTTTAAAAAAACTTCAATCAGAAGACATAAAAATCATTTCTTGCTTGAGCTGTTGTGATAATAAACTTATGACTTTTCATTTATTTTCTCTCATTCAGTTGCAAAATCTATATTCCTTTGATTAATATTTTTTTCAAATACAGTTGATTGTTTTTCAAATGTTTGAAAAATCGGATTGCAAGAGGAATTAAGTAGCAACTAAATTTTCTGGAAAAATATAAATGCTACAAAAATTCTTCTTGAAATTCAATACTCAAATTTTTGAATTTTATTAAATTCAAAACGAACTTACTTTCAAACAAGATCGAAGCCATATTCTGTAAAGAAGCATTATCGCTTATAACAGCTAAATCTCCCCCGAATATTTGGCAATATCTTCGTGCTAATCTAACATCATAATCAAACTGAATACCTCTATAACATTTTTGACCATATGGAAACCAGCCAGGATTGCAGCATATCACTAAATAAACATATTAAACAAAAATTAAAATGCCAATAAAAAAATTTCTCAGAAGAATAAAGTATGACAATGAAGTTTAAAAAATCATAATTAATAAAACTAATCTGTGCTTTATTAACTACTTCCAAAAACTTATAGTCTCGATTGGTAATTTTACTAGTACGATCCGATTTTGACCAGCTAGGTCACCTTTCAAGATTATCTTACACAACATATAAACTTAAATAATAACCATAGGAAAAAAGGTAAGTTTATTCAGAGAAAGAACGCTTTCGTGCATGGTTTCGTAATTTAAGTCTGTACTAATTATTTAACATATTTGAGATTACACATTTAAAGATTGAGTCCTAGAAAGTGAAGATCCGATCATTCTTTGCGCACTATACGTTATGGTGTTTGGTTTCATAACTTAAAATATCGTCTGCACTAATTAGTTAGCATATCTGAAAAATTCTCAAACCTTTAAGATTGGATATTATTGCGCGAAATTACGATTAGTTAGTCAGGAACCTTCGTATTTTATTTTGCACACTGTACTTGAGTAATTCACAAGTTAACATTCATGCAGTCATTAGTAATTCGTGAGTAAGGGGAAATAGCTTGTTATTTCTGAAAGAAAATCTTTGATTTTGCCTTTCCTTGGTTTAAAATGTAATTTAATGGCAAAATAATTTCAATAAATAGCAGCTCTGAAAAAGTTAAATGCGCTTAATTTAAGAAGTATCTGATATTATTTCCTTGATTTAACTAACAAATGCAAAGAGCCACTTTGCTAGAAACTTCGAAAACTTTTTCTTTCAAAATTCATCAAAATTTGTTAAATTAGAAAATTAAAAAACTTTACTGATTCTTGCCAGGCATTTTTTTTTCTTACTAGAGCAATTTTTACAAAACCCATCACTAATGCTTTTATAATTTCTTTTTCAATGTAGCATTAGATAGCACAGATAGAATACTTACATACCATTTAGCTGATTAGCTTCAATTTTAAGGTATCAACACAAATTTTAAGTATGAGAAGTTGAAAATATGTTAATTCTTTGTGTGCGTTCTTTTATTAAAACCTCTTTGTGTTCGTCAATTTTGAAACGCTTAATGAGAAATACTAGAAATTTGGAAAGGTGGGGCAGTTATTTGTGCCGTATGACGTAAAAAGAAAATTTTCTCTTTCAAAAATACTAAACTAATAAAATTTACAGTAAGTCACTCTGATTTATAATTACGTAAAGCATTTGAAGATTATTGAAGCACAAATTTTTTTTGTCTGTAATTTTACTTACGAGCAATTATTGTGGATGGGAAAAAACTACATACCTCAAAATGTAGTCAAAACAATGGGAAATATTATTTGTGAAAAGAATTTGGAATAATAAAAGCAATGTTTATTTATAAATATCAGCTTTTGCTATAAATTTATAATTATTAAGTGAATTTTTGTGCGTTTGTATAAAATTTTTTCAATTTTTTAAACTTGGATTTTAATAGTAAGTACTCAATCACAGTGTTTATTTATTGTTATATTTTTTACATTTATTGAAATAAAAAAAACAATTCGCCACCGATGACCATGGTGGTTGCAGAGTTGCAATTATGACAATAGAATTGATTTAAAGCAAATTCAAAAGATTGGAAAGCAGTATCACATTTTTAATGCATTCCTCATATAATATATTACTTTAAAACAAGGGTTGAACTTTTATTAAAGCTTTGAAGCAGTATTCTCTATGAGTTCAAAAAAAGTTTGAAAATAAAAAAGTTTATTATGCATTAAACGAAGGCTTTTCAAGATACCACATGAGAAAAAATTAATAACTTCATTTTAAATTTTGAAGCAGATCAGTCAATAACAGACTTAGTTTGTAAGATTCTTTACCTGCACTGCAAAATGAAATAAAGTGAAGGATCGTCTGCCATCTCATTGTGTTTCTTTATGTGATAGCTGCCCTCTTCCCTAAGACGTATGGCAACAGCAATTTACAGAAATCAAATAGAGATTAAAATGATGCAAGTGCATAAATTCGGAAGTCGTTTCCTGCTTGGAAGGAAACGGATTCATTGCTGATTAATCTATCCCCCTCCCACATATCGGACAATCCACAAAACTTCTGATATATCAAGAATGAAAATAAATAATAACGACTATAAGTTAGTTTCACTAACTTTCAGTTAGTTTGCTGCGTTTTTAGATGTGAAAGTCTTAGAATACAATACCATGAATTATATTTTTCAAAATAAACTCTTTATATTAAAAATTATTTTTGGCCCATAGAACCTAAAACTTATATAACAAAACCTTTTTCAACCGCTGACGAACGTTTAGAATACAAATTTATTTAGGGCTTGAAATACAGAGTTAATTTTAAAAATCTCACCTACAGGAATAGCATAACTTAAAACCGACAAACTGCAAAAAAATAATTTTTTGTGATAAAGGATGATTGCACTAATGTTAAAAATAGCATACTGAACATAAGTTCGTTTAGAACTGAAGTAGAATCGATAGAAAATTTACTAGACGTCAAAATTTTAGTGTTTAAAAACTTGATTTCGTTCATTTCGCTATTGCGGGGAAAAAGTATTGTTATAGTAAATATTTTATATAATAAAAATAGAAATTTTATTTCAAATAAATATTGATGTTATCAAAATCTGATTCTAATTAAAAAATCACTTAGTAAAGAACTTTTCCTACGTAGAGCTTTAGAAAATTGAAATATCAGCTTAAGTTAAAAATTTAAAGTCTTTAAAGGAAATAGTAATAAACTATGACAGTAAAATATATAAATAAACTTTCGATATTTTACGGAACGATGGGCTATTTGAGATTCCTTGGTAAAATATGGCTTAAAACTGCACCTACACTATAAGACGATGCATCACAAGTTAAAATAACGAGAAGTTTTTCATCAAAACGAGCTAAAATTACATTTTTTTTTCAGTAAATCTTTAGCCGCTTTATAAGCTTTTTTCATATTTGTTTGACCAATGCCAAACCACATCATTCCGAAGTAATTAGTGTTATGGAGAAAAAACTTCGGATCTTCCTTTTAGAGGAAAAGATTTTAAAAAAAAAAGCAGTAGAAATTCAGAATATGTAAAAATGATTAACAACTCGGTTTTATTTCTAGGGCTGGGTGCTTCATGAATTACTTTTACTTTAGTGAAACTTGGTTGAATGTCATTTTTATCAACTCGGAACCCCACTAAATCGACTTCAGAAATTGCAAACTGACATTTTTCTCGCCACATCTGAACACCGGAATCTAGCATTCGTTTTATAACCATTCTTACATTATAGTCTTCAATATCTTTTCCCTTAGTGAAAATGTCATCAAAGTATGACAAAACACTATCAATTTGATGATAACGTTTCTTCCATCTGTTTCCAAAAAACAGCGACAGAAATGTCGTACGGAAAGCCTTTTGCCTTTACCCTTTATGCGTATTTAAAGTCCATGATTTTGACGAATTTTCATCTACCGGAAGCTGAAAATAAACTTCAATAAGATCTAATTTCGAGAAAATTCTACCACCCATCATGCTCGTTAAAATTTCATTTACTGTAGGCATAGTTTAGGTTTTTATTTCGTTTACCGTAGCGTCGGGGGAAATTTTCCCAAACTTCGTACGTACCAAGTAATTTTCCTGTAAATAATTTTTTTTAAAGTTACTACTTTTTTAAACCCTAATACTCCCAACAGCTATTTTTTAATTTAAAAACCATAAAAAGATCGAAAATTTTCAATAGTTTATATATAATTTAATGAAATAATTGTATGATAATCTTTTTTATGCAAAGACTATTTGAAAAACCAGTTAGAGTTTTTTTTAAAGGTTGTTAAATTGTCGAACTCAATGAAACAAAATTTAAGAACAGTGAAACAATTTTTCAATGAAACATAATTTAAATAATATATATTTTTTATTATAATCGTAGTTAGCAGCTATTTTAGCTTATGCACAATATATTTTTTATTGTTATGTTTATTTATGAACACTTTATACTACTACTGTGTCAAAAGTTTTTTAGTATCATTTTAGTTTACTAGGTGGCTCCACTCACCAACTCTCGGGATTGCTTTTCGATAATTTCTGTTTTTTTATTATTCTTGAAAGTCAATATCGTTTTTTTTTTTTTTATATATATATATATATTTTTTTTGAACGATAATTTGCTTACAAAATATAATAGATATAGTTTTGTGGAAAAATATTTTGTGAATATGTTAAGCCCAACAAAATGAACGAATATTTGGATTTACAGAAACATTCAACTGTACTTGAAAAAACAAATACTTAACAGTTCAGATTAGAAACGGTTTTTATCATTCTTGAGACTTTCTCATTTTTAAAAATTTCACTAGAAATGTTAAGATTTATTTCCGGTAACATCTAACGTCTCACCCACTTATTTTTTTTTATTTTATTTTATTTACTTACTTTTTTGTTGAGTGAGCTTATAATTGAAAATCAGGAGAGAGATAAGTAAGCTTTTTTTCAATAAGAAGCAAACAGACACTTTTTTCAAAAAAAAAAAAAAGTTTAAAAAAAGTCGTGAGAAAACTCTTAATATTGAAATAACTTTAAAACAAACAGAAATTTTTTTAAATAAAAATCTCATTGAATTCAAAATTTAAAATAAACCTTTATGCATGTCAAATTACAACTCTGTATTTGTGTCCGATTCAACAAATTCAAATTTAACAGTTGATATTTCTGGAACTAAGAGCCGAATTCTTTTCTCTTTTTTATTGCATTGTACTCCTTGGACATTTTTTATGCATCTTCGTAATTTTAATTTTCAAAGTCTTGCAAATTAAAAAAATCATGATAAAAACACTTAAAACAAATTGAAATTCTTTTTCATATTCTTTGTATTCTTTGTGTTCAAAAAAAGTTTGAAAATANCATATTTTTAAATATATATAGATAGATAGATAGATAGATAGATAGATAATTATACTAATTAGAGAGAGTTTTGTTTCATTGCAACAAACAACGTTAGCATGTTTTGAGCTCGAAGTGTATATTCTGATTCGCTTCAAGCACAAATATTTACGTAAATTTTGAGAGATCTTTTTAATATCCCTACAATTATTACCGTTAAAATCTATTTCATACGTAATATCATTTTTTACAAACTAATTTAAATATAACGTAAGTTTTTTTCTCATGTTTCATTAGAATGTGTTCTAAACTATTTCATTTTTTTATCAAACAACTTATGAAAATTTTAAAGACCAAATTGCAGAGAAAAAAAATGCATTTCTGCTAAACTTGCAAGGTATTCTTCAAACAGATTTTAAAACGCTAGTAGGAATTTCTTCTTCTCCCGTCTAAACATCCTTCATAACTTTCAAGGGACCATTGGGTAATCTTGCATACACTAGTTGATATAGTGAAACACCAGTGATACTATATGGCACTTGTCGGTAGGCGAACATCAAATGTTGGAGATGTAGGTCCCTATCCCTGCCATTTTCTTGAAAGTTCTTATCTAACATGTCTTTTAGAGTCCTGTTCCAGCGTTCCACGGCTCCCAAGATGTCCTGGAGTACCAAACTTTAGAGACATTCCCAAAGTGTTTACAAACGATTCTGTTAACTCAGCAGTAAAATTTGTCCCCTGATTTGAACAAATGGTTTCTGGAAACCCTGTTTGAGTAAATATTTTCATTCGAACTTCACTCGTTGTTTTTGCTTTAATGTTTTTGACAAGAATTGCAATGGCAAATTTTGAGCAAAAGTGAAAGGCATAAATAAGATAGGAGTGACCTCTTTTGGATTTTAGCATCAGAGGTTCAATGCAATCGACACTCCATAAGTTTCAAGGGGTTTTCAAGACGAACAATAGCCTGCATAGGTACACGATCTCAATATATTGCAGTTAGTTTTTTGTGACATTTTTTACAGCTATTGCAATAGCTTTCTACATCAGTTTTTATTGTAGGTGAACGAAACAGATTTTTTAATTCTCTGTTTTTCTTCTTTTCCCCTAGATGACCTGATAAAGAGATATCATGGTTTAATCATACTGCCATTGCTTGGTAATTATTCTTTAAAAATTACATTTCCAATTAATATGAAAATTTTAAACTAATATGACAGTTAGCTGATCGTTAAGTTCTGAATCCTTTAACTGTATCTCTTTTACTGTAATTTGTAGTAGCATATAAACGCTATTTACATCAGGAAATACCAATCGTAAAACTGTTAATAAGTTTAGGCACCGATTCAAATAAGATCTTAAAATGTAGCATGACAAGGTAATATAATAGAATGCTTATGGTCCCGCAGTGGACTGATCGTTAAAACATGGTTCCCAGCAGATCACCAAAGTCTACGGTCACTGGCTACTGTCAGTGTGCTATATTAGTCCTCGTTAAACTGTTCTACCGTAAAGTGCTCGGCTTCGCGTGCAAGTCGTCGGGCTACCGAAGCGGGGGTGCAATCCCCTCTGCAGAGGATCAAAATTGTGATTGGATCAAAATTGTGCAGAGGATCAAAATTGTGATCTTCGGAACATTCTCAGAGATGTTTCCCAGACTGCCGCCAATAGCCCATTGTGCAGCTCTAGTGCGAAGTAAATAAACTATAACAGCAACAAGAATGCTTATGCAAGTATTTAATAACTTCAGATAAGAACTGCTCATGCATGCGCCAATGACAATAGCGTGAGCTCTTTTCAACGCACATGCGAATGTTTAAAAACTACGTGTATGAAGCCATTCGCACTTCATGAAAAAATTTCATGTTTGTGAATTTGGTAAAGCGAATAAGAACCTGATTAATAATACGTATTTTCCTAGTAAACTTTTTCCTATTAAGTTCGTGCTCAAATTTCCAATCTCGCGTACGTAATTTTCTCGCATCCTAAAAGAGCATTCCAACTACATGCGATTGCCGCTCCGTTGACCGATGTTGAGAGAAATAGTGCACCTAATTGGTAAGCGTTCCGCATGAAAATATACTTCAAAAATCCGATTCTTATGTTCCCTCAACGGTGAAAGGAAGTATGTGAACTGCAGACATTGAGATTGGCCCTTTGAGCTGCTCATAAATGCTGCTGATGATAAAGGCATCTTACTGAATGAAGTTCACAGAACGAAATGAAAATCCTGATTTATGAGCGTTTCTTAAGAAAAAGTTTTTAGCAATCAGGATCTCATTCTATCTCAGAAGTGCAGTTACCGCATTTGGGGAGATTGGCCCTCATGCAATAAATTACTACTTAAGCAGCATTCTCGTTGCATGTGATTCACATATGTGACCCACGTCAATGCGAGTAATGAATAAGCGAACTTCGTCTTACATAGTTTCTAAATACTCAGACGTCATCTAAGGCAATCGGATGCAGTGTGAAGTTTCACTGCATTCAATCTAACGCAATTGCAATTCGCGCATGCACGTATATTTTACTTTAAGCAGCATTCACACTGCTGACAATTCACATATGCGATAGCAGGCAAATGTTATTGATGCAATTCTGAATTCGCGTACACTTTTTTGAACATATAGCGAGAATGATCCTTTAATAAAAGAATTTTATTTTTTCTCTTTTCCTAACTGATCTTAACTGCTGCAAAATTAAGCAGGCAGAAACGTTGTTAATCAAATAAGCAACGAAGATAAAACATAAACAAACATTAATGTGAATTGAAATCACCGATTGTTCTAAGAAACTCGCCCACAGAGAATTGTTGACTTGAAATGGGCAAGATTGGACTTCAATTCAAAGCCGTATTAGAAAACGTAACCGATCTTCAAGCTTTTGGTGAAGATTTTCGCTGGTATTTGAAACTGAAATGTCTTAACTGTGGGGAAGAGCCGGAAAAGTGGCAGTATGTAGCTCTTACTGAAAAATTCCCGTTAAAAGGAGGTCGTGGAGAAGCCAATTTTGTGAGTAAATGTAAACTTTGTGCACGGGAAAATTCAGTTGAAATTCTACTGGATACAATTAAGAAGTACACAATTGATGATTCCGAATCATTTAAAACTATAGTTGTTTTTGATTGTCGAGGATTAGAGCCTACAGATTTCTCTCCAAGAGTTGGTTTTCAAGCGATTGGAGAAAATTCCAATGCATTATTTGATGACATTAATTTAGAAGAGAAAGAATGGGTTGATTATGATGAAAAAGCAAATCTCTCTGTATCCATTGCTGAGGTGGAACATAAATTTGTAAAAGTGTAAGCGAATCTAAGTGCCATGTTATAAAAATTCAAAATAAATCGCTCAAGCAATATATTGTTTGTTGTTTATTTTTCCTACATTCTTTGAAATTGCAAGTTTCTTAATATTTTAAGTTAATATTTAAAAGTTAGCGTACTTTAAAGAGAAAAGATTAAGATACTTTAAAGAGAAGAGAGAATACTTTTATTTTCTTAGAGATAAAGAATATATCCCTAAAACCATACACATATTATTGTCTAAAAGGGGATACTTTTGTATACTTATAACTAGTATCATCGCTACGGCAGCTATCATCGCTACTAGTATCATCGCTTTGAGTTTTGAAAGGGCTCTCAATTAACCCCGTAAAAAATTTTCAAAATGTGTAATAATATGTAATCTGAATTTGATCCTCAACAATTTTTAAATTACCCTGTTATACTATTTTATGTGTGTATTTCAAAAAATAATTTTCTCTCATTATCAAAATAAGAGAAAATTTGTAGCTTATGAAAAATTTATTAAAGACATGTTTAAAAACTATCACTGTGCACAATTTTTTTCTAAAAAAGAAATGATTATTGATAAACAGATTGAAATCTTTTTTTATAATTTAAACTGAAAATTATAAGAAAATAAAAATTTAAAGATGCCCTTTTTTTAAAAAAAAAAATCTATTTAAAAAATTATTTTAAAATCACTTAAAAATGTCATTATTATACCTCCCTCAAAAAAAAAAGAGAAACTTATAGAAAATTAACCAGTTGGTAGAAAATAATTCTGGCAAAATAAATATTTGTAATAGTAATCCTAATTAAACCTATAAATGCAGATAATTTTATCAGTCTAAAATTATTACTTAAATGGTGAATTATTATTCTTTTTATTGGAAAATGAATGAAAAGGCAGTGTTTTTAAATGATGTTGGCTTTTTTTGGTAGTATTATTTATATGGATAGGATGCAGCCAAGAGGTCACTTCAAAAGGCTGGCAGGGCAGGTAGCCTTCTGAAATCGCTTTGGAAGATCACTGTCTTTAATTCAACAAAATTTTAATGTTATAATTTGGCTACTAAGATATTTAGCTTGCTAAGAATTATTGCAGTTATCTTTAAGTATATTTTTATATTTTGTTGTTTACAGTTAAATAATATAGATGCATACCTTGTGCTGATACATTTACTGAGATTTTTAAATTTTGTGGAAATTTAAATCTCTTTTTTAAAATTAAGCTTTTTAAAAATGTATGTTTACGCAAAAAGAAAACTGAATCTGTAGGAGAAAATATATTTTATGCAGTTAATTGAAAAAATTATTAGTAAACTCTTAATATTTATTTTTCTAATGCATATCTTTTTAATTTAGATATTAGAAGGGTAAAATTATTAAAAATTTTGAAAAACCAAAAAAAAAAGAAAATTGATTCATTGAAAGTAATAAAACTTAACTTAAAAAATTTTGAAAGCTTAAACTTAATTTTTCTTAAACTTTTTTTTTTCTTACTTATTCTGTTACTGTTAATTATTTATAAGACACTGTATATATATATATATATANATATATATATATATATTGTTTTTTATGCATCTTAGAGATATTTAAAAGTGCTTAATATTTTTGCTGTTTCTTGAATAAAATAATTTTATTATCACGGAATATTATGCGTTTGCAGATATTTTAAGATTGCGTGAGAGGATAATTTATTTATTTTATTTTGTTCCTGTTTATAGTTAGTTTAGTGTCATTTTTTCTATTATCATTTTATATTTTATTGATATGAAAGTGGCTTAAAAACTAAAAAAAAGACATAAATTAAAAAAGGTGTGTAATATAAAATAATTTTATATATTATAGTGTTATGATATTACCTTATAACTCAGCAATTTATGATTAACTAATAAATATTTTCAAAGTGTATTTGTTCAATATTATTATTCAAAGAAAATTTATATGAAAACTTCATCTTTTGGCTCTAGTATGAGGTTATATTATAGTATCAGATAAAGTTTGCCTCATCTCTGTTTGCCGTGTAGATAGATATTTCTTGATGTATGACACAATTTCTACATTTCTGTTAGAATAAACTTGCACAAATATTATCTCAAAGGATTTGAAAGAGGATATTAAATAAACTCTTTGAAGGTTAAGTAATAAAATTGTACTGGATCAACAGATTACGAAAAAAATAAAATGTTAAAGGTTTCCCAAATAAAATGGCATTAGTTTTATTGCTTTGGATAATAATTCAAATTTGATTATATGCTATATTGTCATGTATTGTTGTAAGAAGAGAGTCTGCTAGGCTAGGTACGTTGCAAATATTTTTAAAAAAATTATAAAATATTTTAAGCCTTCCATTTTTGTCTATGAGGAAAAGTATGTTGAAAAAGCTTAAGATTTTATTCTTCCAAATTTTATTTTTTTTTTTTTTGAACAAACATATTAACATCTAAGATAATACTTCCTTTTAGCAGAAGGGAAGGGAAAGCCATGATAGTTGGACTAAACCTTATTAATTATAATGAAGGATGCATGAAGCTAGAAAAATTATAACTTAAAAAATTTCTTTGTCTGAACCAAAACCAGCTATTTTCTCTCTCATTAAAAATGTTTTTATAATAGAAATTCTACTGTAAGTATAAAATATTATCAACTGAATACCCAATTTTCATATAATAACATAAATACCCTGTTCTATGAATGTTTATGTTTCATGAAGGAAAAATAAAACAGTTAAAATTAATTATATTTTTAGCATTCTTACAATCACGTGTGAAACATTGAGGTTCATAACCAAATTAACAGACCCTTACTGAAGTAATACAGGAACTATTTCAAGTTTTTCTTCATGGTTAAAAATTTATTTTGTAAGTCTTTTAACCATATCAAAACACTAAAATTTCAATAACAGAGATGATTTGTAGAATATTAATCATGCATTTCCAGCTTCCCTAAAATAGCAATAAAAAACCCTTTTCAATAACTTTATTATTATAAACTATTCCCTCAAATTAATCTTACAATTCTCATTAGGAAACTTAAATTTAATTTTTCTTAAATCAGGTATATCTCATAGAATTTTTTTTTAAAATTATAATACAAAACTGAAAGAATTAAAACATTATGCTGCAATACTTTTTTAATTTATTTTTATATTCAAGTTTTATGAATCGTGTTTTTCCTATGCTTTAACATAAAATATATAAATTTTCTTTTATACTTTGAGCTTAACATACTATTATTCATGCATAATTTTTTTATTGACCACTTTTTTATATATATTTTCTTGCTAAACGTTTAAATATGTACTTAATATGCTTCTTAAAATCAAATAACTTTTAGAAATTGATTTTGAAAAATTTAGATGAATGCACATGAACGCATTTTATTAAAATTGGACATGAGTTTTGAAATATTTTAATGTTTCTTGGTTGCATCTTCTCGAGCATAATAAATAAGTACATAGTAAATAATTTGCATAATAAATAAGTACATAGTAAATAATTTGCATAATAAATAAGTACAAAAAGAAAAAAAAACACGAAGAAAATTAAGAAAAACAATTAGTTTTATTTACTGCGCATAAGCTGCAAGTAAATAGAACTCATAAAATAAGTTCAAAATATAGAGAAAACATGAAAAAAATAACGGAACAATGAAAAAAGTGGGGAAAAGAAAAATGATAATCAAAATAACAAGAAACAGGAAAAAAAAGGAAGAAAAAAAATAAAAATCCGGAAAATAAAAGATATAATTTTTTCATCAGCTCTCACCATTATATCCGCAATCCTTTTTGCGGATATAATCGTGTGAGCTGATGAAAAGATTATATCTTTTATTTTCCGGGTTTTTTTTTTTACCTTTTTTTCGGATTTTTTTCCGGTTTCTTGTTATTTTTATTATTATTTTTCTTTTCCCCCTTTTTTCATTGTTTTGTAGTTTTTTCCATGTTTTCTCTACATTTTGAACTTATATATATATAAATTAACAAGGAGGCCGACTAAAGAAAATATTTTACCATTATTTTTTCTATTACCAAGGTATATATTGTAATCAACTTTTCTCTTCTCTTTCTTTTTTTTCTTTTTTTTTTTATCTTTACCAAGGGCGTAGCGAGTGGTTTGCTATATACACACACATATATTTTCTTTTATAAAGGAAAATTATGCGTCATATTTTTTTTTTTTTTTTTTTTTTTTTTTTTTTTTTGCTTTCACATTTGATTGAATTGATGCAAGTAAATAGAAATTCTAAATTTGATTTTGTGTTTTTGCGAATTTCATTTTAGTGAATGGATTGGTTTTTCGTCGCCAGAACTAAAAACAGCATTTCTTTTTTTTTTCCCCACTTCACTTTAATACTTCAAATGACATAGAGTTTCACAAATCACAACTAGTGTTTCAAATCAGATATTTTTTTTTAATATCAGTAAAAATGTATCGTTTAAAATTAATTATATAAAAATACTAATTAAATCTAAAATACAAAAAGAAAATAAAAAATATCAAAGTTTTTTTTAAGGGTTTAAAGCGAATTTGAGCCGGGCAATTATGCATTTTGCCCTCCTTCATCAAAAAGCTATCATTTGCAACGGCCCTGATCCCTTCTAATCTTTTTATTTCATGTTTCAAAGCAATTAAATCTTCTAAAAAGGCCGGTTTCAGCACATTTCAAATGAAATTCTTTGAAATTGGAACGTTCTAAGAACTTTTGAATCGAATCTAACTCTTTGACCAAAAATTGATTAAAATTGCCCTCCCAACAAAATGAGTTAGAAGAAAATTTTGCTGCCCTAATTTTTGTTGGTCAATACTATACTTTGATTGTACTCAAAGTATGCTTGAATTTCATAGAAATAAATAATAAATGAAAAAATCTCGTGAATTAAAATTTTATTTTGGTTCAGAATCCTTATATAAATTTTCTATAAATATCTTTTTAGAAAAATATTTTAAAAATATCTTTTTATCCGATGTAGAAAACTTAAAATTTTAATGTTCATTTATTTTTGAATTATTAAGTTATATTGAACGAAATCTTAAAATGTGGATTGAAAAACAGACGATATTTTAAATGAAAAATAAAAAATCTTGTGATTCCTAAATTGTGAATTAAAAAAATTTAGCAACTTGTTTTGAAACTAAAAATAATTCGCAAATGAACAACAAAAATATGATTATGAAGATAAAAATATGTTGTTTTCCACCACTGGTATTCTCATTAAATGCCTAGTTTTTTATTGTGAAAATAAAATTAACAGATTTTAAGTGTCTTTAAAAGTAGATGCCGTCATAACTACTCTGCAATTCATTCTTCCATCGACGCCTACTCGAATTTAATCGATGACCTCGACATTTACAAAGTGGTATTTCAAGGTTGCTCAATTGGAATAAAAATAAAATATTTATTTTCATAACCATCAAGTTTATAGCAACGACTTAATATGCTCTTCGAATATTAAGACAAATATAAAGCCCTAATAATTCCGTCTACATCAAACCTAGGCTCAATTGTTAACTTCGCCAATATTACTAAGCCAAATTATTACCGCCAATCCCCTTTCAATTTCAATGACAAAAACTTGGTATTAGAAGTAGTAAGATTTGTTTTTCTTTGAATGAAATTGCATTTCTCATTACAAAAACAAAACCCCTATACGAAAAAAAAAAGAACAATAAAGAAACCTCGATTTGTATTCAGGTGTTTAATGAAGTGTCAAATACGGCAATCCTGTTTTCCTGTAGCATTGAAATAATTCCGCTTGTATCTATTGTTTTGTTGGCGACTTTTGATTCATGGCGCAATGTCCGTGAAGCGTTATTTCTAATTTTTCATTGATGTGGAAAAGGAGCTGTTTTAAGTCTTACGGCATTTTACACAGCTACTCGTATACATATTTAACTAAAATTTGAGAAGACTATCGTATTACTGAAATTATGGGATATTTTTTCTTCATCCTTGAATGTTTGTGAAATCTTACTGTACTGTGATTTGCTATGAATAATTTAAGTCTCACTATGTAAAATGGATTAAAAAAATTGTTAAAGATGACTGCTGGCAGTAAGTTGTGAATTATATTTTTTCTCTCGTTATTAGTTAATTTTTTTGTGATGGTTATAATATTACATTTTATTGAATTCGACGTCTTTTTAAAAAAAATTTAACTGCATATTTTTCTCAGATTTAAAATATATATATTATTTTATTTTGAATTTAGTTTTTAAGTTACGCTAACTTTGCTTATTTGAAATATGCTATGTTCAATTCTAACTATTTAAAATATAAATATTTTCATGATTATTAATACTTAAGGATTCTCTATTTAATAATACTATCATAATTTCATTTGATTTAGATTAATTTTATTATAGTAACTTAATTGTATTTATATTTAGCGATCTGAAAATATAAAATTGTTGTTTATTTGTCATCATTTCAAATCTATCTTTAATATATTATGTCATCATTTTAAATCTTATATTGTTTAATAATTATACTTGGACTAAAATATTTTATGACTCTTCAAAAGTTAATGATTTAACTATCAAATGTGTAATGAGTGTTTTTTTACATTCAGTTAGTCTAAAATGAAATTGAATCCAAGATCATTGTAGAACCGTTATTAGATAGACTCTGTAATGCCCTGTACCCTTTAAACATTTACTTTCTGAGTTGCCCTTCGGAAAATGATACTCAGCACTAGGTATTTAACTAATATTCGGCCACTATTGCTGAATATTCTGCCGTGCAATTGAAAAAAAAAAAAAAAAAAAACGTAAAAACTTCGCTTGATTCCGAGAAAAGTGGTTTGACAATTTTCTTTTATTGCTAATGCTATGAACGCTGAAATAGAATTTCAAAAAACTCATTAAAAAAAAATTTTTTTTTTTAATTTTTTTGCCGCTAATCATACAAAGAAGCCAAATATATAATAATCTCAATTTAGAATTTTTTGTCGCTTACGTTGATTTTTCAATTGCACAGCAGCATTCGGTTGGCCGAATGTTTGGCAAATATTCGGCAAAGTATATTTCAAAAAAGTTTTCATCGTCAGATTTTTTTTAATTTGAATAGATATAATAAAGGGCTAGTATAGCCTTTTTCGTTGGGCACTGGGCCCATGTCCAAGAGGTCGTGGGTTCGATCCCCGCCGACCGAAAACTCCCCGTGTAGTAAATGGTGACTGATGCACATTAAATCTGTCGAGTCACATAGTCCTCCATGTTCCTATAGCAAATCATACCTCTGGGAGTACTGATCCAGGAGTTTCCTTGTCTTCTGGATTGGTTCAAAATCACAAGGCTACGGAGTTGAACATTAGTAGTCGTGAACCTAAAATTGGGTCGGCTGCTCACGACGATTATTATCATTAAATAGATGTAATAAACAGTAATCTGAAATTGTATTTTTTACTATACGTTATTAAAAATATTTTTTGCAGATATTTAAGTTCTAAAACTTGCAAATTTAGTTCTAAAACTTGCAAATTTAGTTCTAAAACTTGCAAATTTAGTTCTGAAAGACAAATGAAAAAGCGAAATTTGAAGAATTGAAACTAGATTACTATATACTGAACCACAAGTTTTATACTGCTGATTTTTTTAAAAATTATATTCGGACTTGAAAATTTCGTCCTTTTTTCAACACTTTTTGTTTTAAGAATTGAGTATGTTATTTTTTTTCTGTTTTTATTATATCGTAGAGTTTCTAATAGACTAATTCTTTTAATATCACTTTTCTACGGTAAGACAGATAACCGATAACACAGAAAACTGTGATTTTGAACGTTAAAATTATATTTTATGAACTAAGAAAATTTTTTTTTACTATTTCACTTTTGCTTTTTATCAGCAATTTTTAAAGACCGTTTTTAATAAACTTAATTCTTTTATCCGTATTTTTCTTTTAAAAATACGGCAATGGGAAAAATTTTAATTGAGATTTTTAACGTTGAATTTTTCATTTAAAAAAAGCATTTTGTTTTGGTTTCTATCTACCTTTTTCTTTTTTAACACTAGAAAGACTGAAACTTTATATACCTATATTGCTCAAAAGCAGTAAAAATGACTGCATTTTGAAGGAATAACTAATGTATAAAGAAACTTGTTTAATTAATTTTTAATATTTTTTATATTATTTACAGTAATATAGCAAGTTATTGATAAATATTAACAATAAAAAAATTTACTTCACTTGGAAAAAAACTACTTATGCATTATTATTAGGCAATTAAGAGGGATTCTATTATACTTAATTCTGTTTTCTTCATTTTTCGAGAAAATACGGTAATTGGACAATTGAGATGTTCAGTTTTAAAATTTTCTTTAAAAATTAAGGTCGATTTTTATTTTTTGTGTTTCGCTTTTGACTATCTTTTTTTTAATGGACGTTTTTATGTTAGCACGGCATTTTTAAAAGCGTTTCTGATGAACTATATCTCTTTTAAGCGTTTTATGGATATTTTTTTCTCCAAAAAATATGATTTTTAGTATTAAAGTTTTGTTTTAAGAATAAAGAGAATTTTTTTTTTCTTTTTCCTACTCAATTTTTTCTTAAAATTGCCGTTAGTCAGTTTATTATCTTAAGTATTTCAAATGGATTATTATAGTTTTTTTCCCCTCAACACAAATAATGTAGCTAAGTCTTGATTATTTTTCTAAAATGATTAAACTTATTTATAAATAAAAAATAATATTTATTAATGTTTTTTTTCTTTTAAAAAAAGAAATGGTGCTATTCGGCTGATTTTTTTTTTGGCCGATAATCGAATATATGACCAAATCATTATTCGTTACATCCCTACTCATCACCCCAGATTTCTGCTTGCATCATTGAAATGCTTATTATTATTATTATTTAATTAATTTTTAAAGACAAACATCTTTAAAAAAATCTTATCTTTTACATTTTACACTAATGAATCATGTATACCTTATTAATCCAACAGTTGTAGATTATAGAAACAATGAGGTTTTGCGTTCAAGGGCCCTGTTTAATAATCACCATAAAATGTTTAGCTAAATCTCATTTCATAATTTTAAAATTTTGATGTGAAGTTTTTTGTGCTGGGTATCTAAAAATGTAGACTTCTACTTTCTTTTCTATTTCATATATACAATAAATTAAATGTTCCGCAGGGATCTTGATCGTTAAGACACGGTTCCCAGTAGTTTACCGAAGTCAAGCAGTAAGTGTGCGGGTGGCTGACCACTTTAATCAGATTACGAAGGTACCGAGGGTGTGCGGTATTAGTCCGCGTTAAACTGTTGTACCGTTAAGTGCTCGAGTTCGATTGCAGGTTGTCGGGTTACCGAAGCATGAAGGGATGCTATCCCCCTCTGCAGAGGATGAAAATTGTGATGGCATGTCACCTGATCATCCTCAAGGATGTAACCCAAACCGTCGCCAATAGCCCATTGTACAGTTCTAGTGCGACGTAAATAAACTACAAGAAATTAGATAACAAGTTCTTCAATTGTAAAAATTTTAATTTATTAAAAATGAAATTTTTATATATTTTTTTAAATGGAAAATCACTAACTTTGAACCCCCTAATGTCTTTGAAAGGTGAACCCCACTTGCTCTACTGTCTCTATATCCTTATCAGGGGTCTGTTTAGAAGAAATTTGAGTCCGTTAACGGACCCTTCACAAAATATCTTTTCATAAAAACGGACCCTTCACAAAATTATTTTTGTTTTAATTGGACCCTTCCGAAATTTGTTTATCTTCATTATTGTTTTGTTAATTGAATAAACCCTTCCCAGGACAGAAAACAAGAAAGATGGATGTAAAAGAATTAAGTTTTGTCTTGGGCAGATGATTCTTCCATTATTCGTCCGAAATGAATATTCTGTGTTCAGCAGTATAGGCTAAATACTAAATATTTGTATGTTGCAACTCGAATTTAGAAACAGCAATTGCTGTTTATTTTTGAAAATTTAATTTTTTTCATTATAATTTTACATTGCTGAACATAATCTTGAATCTATTTACAATTTAAAAACTGCTTGAAAAAGGTTTTTGCAATAACCGAACCCTACTTGCACAAATTCATAAAAGCATGACCCTGGTTGAAAGAATGTGAGTAATTTTTCCACAATTTCACAAAAATCGGACCTTTCACAAAATGTCTGGACAGACCCCAGCTTATAATGGCTTAGGTGGCAATGCCATTGGGGGGGGGGGGGNATTGGGGGGGGGGGGGGTACTTGTCATCCGGGAATGTGTCCTCTGTGTATAGTGGATATGAGTTCGGTTTTACTTTTCAAAGTCCGAGCCTCAGATTAATAGGATTCTTTTGTAAACAAAGCTTGCCCGACTCTGTGATTTAATGTGACAAAGACCGAAATTCGCATATGTCAAATGAAATATATTATGCTTCTTAATTATATTAAATTTAAATTATTTTTCACATTTAATAATTCAACTAAACGGAATTCTGTGTATTTGTTTAGTTTGGAGGTAGTAGGAATGTATATTAAAACTGTATTTAGAGCCCGACTCCCAAGATTTCTTTCAGATAATGATCCCGACTTAATTGCATAGTCTGTTTTAATGACACTGGGCGAAGTTAAGCAAAACATATCAGCTGCATATTCAAATTCATTGCAATAAAATACCCTGAAATTTTAAAGGAGAAAAAAATATAATTGCTAAATTTATATATGTATATGTATTTGTCTTTTAGTTAGTAGATTGTAAGCAAACTATTTTGGAATCACGTGTTTAATTTCGTATACAGGTATGTTGGAATATAGCCCTCACAGAATAAATATTTGTGTAAATATTCATTACAAACTGGTTGTCATTAAAATTGCTACAATTACAAAATCTTCAGATTTAATGATCAACAATTATTAAAAATCCCATAAATAAAGATGCTTTATTTTTAATATCTTATTTTGTTAAAAATATAACTTCACTTCCTTGTTCGAATCTATTGCTGAAAACTAGAATAAAATTTTAATTGCTTTTCCAGGAATAATTTTATACTCAGTATGAACAGACTTTCAAAATTACTCAACTGTTATTTCGGAAGTTGAGACTTTAATTTGTATA